TTGTTGTGGGTCGATCCGAACTCGAACTCGAACTGGTCCACCCCCCCTTATAAGTCCCTTAGTCGCCGATCCGAACTCGAACTCGAACTCGAACCGGTCCCCCCCCCCCGGCTCGATAATTGCGTTGTCGATCCGAACTCGAACTCGAACTCGATCCGGTCCACCCCCCCCGGCTCGATAATTGTGTTGTCGATCCGAACTCGATCTCGAACTCGAACTGGTCCACCCCCCTCTCGCTCGATCCACGCAATCTCGCGCATCGAACTCGAACTTGAACTCGAACTGGAACGGGATCAGTTAGAACTACCTGGGGCACGGCCTGGGTGGATGACAGGGGAACAAAACGGACAACAGAAATCAATCGAAGGAAGATGGTGTGTGTCAGACAGAGGAGTCAGATGACCGGCTTTACCAACAAAGTGAAGAGTTCAGGAAAAAACGATCGGCTTGAAGAACGCTTTGAAGCGGAGAGCCACGCCAGGAAAGGCACGGAAAAATAACTGACATTTCAGAGATAGCAGAGCATAGTCTTGAGAAACGTCTACCAAGGTGTAAAAGGTTCAGAGGTGGACGAAGTCTCATGATGTGTACATTTTGCAGACGACATGACGGTCATGAAGGCAGCATGTCATGTCATCTAGATCATTCAGGAACTCAGTCATGACCACCAATGCACATTCGACCGGGTCGTGTGTTACTTTAAGTACTACGTACTAGGTGCTAAGTGCTTGTTGTTCGACCCTTGCTTGCCGAAGTATTTTTGCCGTCATGAACTCACCCGCGTGGAACTTTGGAGCACAAACTCGCTGAAAGACATGGCATTTGCGTGAATTGTACGGTGCGATGTGTGAAAGCAATCTGGGGCGGGCGCTCCGTGCAGAGAGGCTTTAGTTTTGTGGCCAAGGTGCGTCGCAGCGGACAACGTGACCGATTCACACTGCCGCAGCGAAACTGACCCAGAGAACCGGATTTGTTAAAGGTGTTTGCGTCGCCCCACCGTGTAATTGCCCAAAATCACAAAACCGTCGATTTTGCGTGATAGAGTTTGATGGATTTGAGGATGTGACTTAATTTTGTGCAATTTGTGTATGTCTGTTTTCATACCTCCAGTTTGTGAATTCACAACTGGCTGTAACTCTTTTGCGAAGGACAAGGATGGATTTGTCGAGGTTTTAGCTTTTGTTGTTTCCTCAACATGCGGTGTGTCAGCCATTTTTGTTTCACTTTCCAGGTGTTTATCCATTGCAACGTGTTTGATTGAGGGACAGCATCAGCCATGAGCTGCGTAGAATGTAAATGACAGTCGACGTATCACTTCCAGCTTTGTCCTCTCACCCGCTGTCCACCGATCTTCATGGCTGACGAAGTCCGTCCCTCAGGCTCAAGAGAATTGTATCGGCAGTGCCTCAGCAACGGCGAATGATGTGCTCGATACCTAACCTAATAGGAATGGCATCCAGCCTAGTAGCAACGGCCTCCAATCTACCGATGGCCTCCAACCTAGGAGGAATGGCCGCCAACCTTGATGCTTGTTTTTCTTCTCTGAGGATGAGGCGACTGCTCGACGCCGTCCGTGGCACTCAGTGTATCTTGTCCATTACCCAGTGCAGAAATGCAAGGATAAAACAACAATTTTGGAAGACAGACATTGTGTTTCTTCACAATTGCCCGTAAGTTTGTGATGAACAATTTTCATCCAAAGCATCTCATTGTGAATACATGTTTGCGAGTGCAATAATCAACGTCTATTTGCAAGGTCCTTGGGCAGGATGGGCATCCGAGAGGTTCTTATAGCATTTCGATTGTGCTTCAAGGCCAAAGAGCGTAGATGGACCTTGGTTTCCAAAGAGCCATACCCACAGCGTAGATGAATAAGCAGAACCCTTTGGCTCTTTGGAAGGAATTGCCCTTCGACTTAGTCTTCGAGGACTTGAGGCCTCAGGCAGCTTCTGTCCGATCTTGGAGTGTTGATTGTTTTTGACCGCGCACCACACACGTTTTCTGGCGGTGTGGGGTTGTCAGGTCCTTCAAACCTGCCTGGATGTGCTGGGAAGAAGCTTTCTTCGAAGTTGGCCTGGTGGGCCACAGGAGATGGAAGATTCCTTACGGAGAGGTGTGGAGGCGTGGGCAGATGCTGAAAAATGGCGCTAACAACACAAGATCAGATGGACAGACATTGATCAAGAGAAACTACATTTGGGTAGACCCTCCATCCCTACATGGTAGGGCCGGCTTGAATCCACAGGAATCTGGGGCTGGGCCTGTGGCACATGGTCTTCGACGTAGTCAAGCACAGGACATCCGAGCCAAAACATTGAAAGAACTCCTGAACATTTGCTTATATATATATATATACATGAGAACCAACTAGAAGCTACTAGGAACAAGAAGCTACTAGGGGCTCCTAGCCATACCACTAGGAGCAAGGACGCTACTAGGGGCTCCTGGCATCGCTACTAGGAGCATTCTTTCAAGTCTTCTGATTGAAAGAAACGCACATAGGAACTCTCAGGGCGGCTGGCTCCATTCGTCGCCACGCAGGTGCAAAGGAGACATGGATGCTACGTATTCTTGCTACATTTGTACGAAGCTTCCACCTAGTAGCGTCCTTGCTACTAGTAATAAGGCCAGGAGCCCCTAATAGCGTCCTTGCTACTAGTAGTTTGTTTGTAGAACTGGTCGTTTCTTGGGTCACTTTCGATCCAAGGTCCTACCGCCTTCTTGAGTCATTGAGTGTAGTTTGTGGTACAGGTTTCGGTGAACAGGGCTGCAGCAGAGGCAACAGTGAGGTGGGTGACAAATGAGAAAGCAAGATGAACAATGGCCAGAAGGGGTGCAGAGTCCCACTTTTGTTTGCTTTTCTTGATAAACATTGTGATGGCAAGGGAAAGTGCACAGCCAATGTGGGGTACTCGGCACTTGGTGCTCCTGCAACTGGTGTGCTGTTTAAAGAGAGTCTCACTGAATGTTTGATTGACTTTGGGGTCAATCATGGAAATACATTTCAGCTTCAAGTTCAAGGCAACAACACACCTGTTCCAACACAAAAAGGAAGCAAACAGTTTTAGCTCATCAGCGACTCTGCTCTTTGTTCACTCGGAATGCCTAAGGCGAAGCTCTTTGATCGTCCGGGCCTCCAAGCTCGGAGTGAGCCGTCAGAGTCACGATGTTTGAAAGGTCAAAACTCGAAGGCGGAGAAAGACAGAATGGTCGAAGTCGTAAAGTCATAGTTGTTAAAGCTTGAAGCAAGGGGTAGTTCAGACGCGAAGAAAAGGCGACTCGTTCGAGCCAAGCGACGAGGCGACGTTGGTCTCTGCGGGTGATGGCGAGGCGAGCTATGGGGAGCTGGAGGGAGTGAAGAACAAAGAGAAAAAACAGATCCGAAAGGATTCTAATGGCAATGGCCTCCAAATGGGCTCCAACCTACTAGCGAAAGAAAGGAAAAATCAAGGTTTCTAAAGGGAAGAGAAAAGAAACAGATATCTGGAAAAGTAGAAAACAGCTTAGGCTTTCAGTGAAGTCGTTTTCGTATCCAGTCAGACAGTCTCCGGTTTGACCGCCCAGGAGATTGAAGTGGTATCACCGCAGGCTCGAAAGAGTGGCCGTTGACATTTGTGGCAATGCTTCAACTAGTAGCTTCTAGCTACTAGTACTGTAGCGATGACCTCCACCTAGTAGTTTCTTGCTACTAGTAGCTATGCTGGAACATTGTGGATTTGTTTTGCTTTAAAACACGATTACGGAAACGATCGTGACAAGCTTGAGAGACTTTTCTATCCTAGGCAAGGGAGAAGGAAAGTGCTGGCATGGCCGAGGTGCATTTCGCTCCCAATGGCTTCACCTGTGACACTTGTGTGTTTCTCCTTTGCGTCTTTATCTTTGTTTTTCAAAGGCCTATATAGGTATAGCTACTAGCAGCGACCGAAGATTACTGGGAATCGTTTCACCTGTAATAACAAGAAGCTACCAAGCTTCTTAGTAGCAAATAGCTACTAGTATGTCTTTGAAGCTTCTTAGTAACTAGAAGCTACTAGGTTGGAGGCCATCGCTACTAGGAGCAAGGACGCGACTAGGAGGTCTTTGAAGCTGCTAGGAACAAGAGGAAAGGCCTTTACAGAAGCTTCTTTGTTCCTAGTAGGAAGGCCAGGAGCAGCGTCCGATCGCTCCTAGTAGCGATGCCAGGAGCTCCTAGTAGCTTCTTGTTACTAGTAGTGATGTCAGGAGCTAATAGCGATGCCCTTTGTTCCTAGTAGCTTCTTTGTTCCTTGCGCCTTTAAGTTTCCTCAAAAATCGAACCAAATCCAGCTCTCCGTCCAAACTAGCTAACTTGTCTATAGCTACCTCTCTTCTACCTCTTAGAGCCTACCCGCCCTACCCCCCCGCCTTTCCAAGGACTTCCGGCTTTTTAGGTGTTTGCAGGTTGACGTTCTGTCAGGGCTGTGTGGTGCGGATCGTGGAGGAGTTGGATCGCGCCAAGGAGTTGCAGGGTTCCCACTGGGTTCGCATCCCAGAGCACGAAGATCATCAGGCGCAAGAGTACTGAACGTCTCAGCTAGACAGCTAGACCTTAAGGCCTGTTTAGTGGTTGTACTTGTGGTAGCAGCCGCGGAAGGAGAAGTAGTACAGTATACTGTATTGATTGGTACAACAGTAGTACGGTGAAAGTAGTATGTGATGTACACATCATATATCACTGTGGCAAGTGGGAGTCACCATGAAATAAGACAAGATCGAGAAGTCATTTGCTTTTTTGCTCAGCCACTTTCCAGTTGCGTCACGCGTCAAGCAAGTTTTGTGGGACAGCTTTATGCGGAGTTCGTTCCTCGCAGCTCTTCTCTGCTTCTCGAGCTTCAAGAAGCGGAACTACAGACTCCTTCAATTCAACAACATGGAATCTAGCAACGGCCTCCAACCTAGAAGTGATGGCCTCCAGGCGACTAGCGATGGCCTCCAACCAAATACTACAGACTCCTACACTTCAACACAACAGCTGAGTATCAGCGATACCTGGTATCATGAAAGGCCAGTCAACAGAATCTGACACAACATGTTGAAATAGTGCTTGACTTCCCATGGGAAATGCCAGTGCCTGAGGTTCTATGACACTGGCAATTTTTTATCCTCTTGGACAGGACATTTGGCGATGACTTTGCAACATCTCTCCTACGTCACAGTGCGTTCATTGCTTTAGCACCTGACATGAACACCTGCCTCTGTGGGTAGTAAAGACCTAAGCCCTTGAAGAATGCATTATGCTTTGTCACCGGTCACCTGCCCTCCACTGAGATGAGGTCGGTACTGGTACAAAATGATTGAACACAGACTGTCCAAACAAACAGCTGGGATAGGGTGATACACATTGATTCACGGAGGGTAAAGTAACAACTGGCCCGACAGAAGCAAACAGGTTGCACACTCCTTGAAAGACGTAGCAGCAGTAGCCGTAGCTTCGGGACCGCGATAAACCCATTGAAGGGTCTTTGCAGCCTCGGCTTTTGCGTTGACATTTTGCTTTTCGGCTTTGGGCTTTGACTGCTTGTTTCACTCCGGGCTAAGCATACCTTTTGCCCGTCGCTGACTTGTCTTGTGCTGAGCAACATTCACCTGGTGGGCTATTGAGTTGGCACCCAAAGAGAGTGCTATTAGGTTGGAGGCCATCGCTTCCAGGTTGGAGGCCATTGCTTGTAGGCTGGAGGCCATCGTTCTTAGGTTGGAGGCCATTGCTACTAGAAAGAAATGAAGAAGACAAGGAAACAAGTCCTAATATAGTTTGCCATTAGAAAGGACTGAGCAGCTTTCACCTGGTGGGCCATTGTGTTGACATTTTTGTTGCTGGTCATCCTGATCGTTATCGACGGTGACTTTTGCATCCGCTGCGCAACCCCTGTGCAAGCCTGGGCAAGGCTGCATAACGCTGCGCACGACAAACATCGTGCATTTCCATGAGCAATAAAGAGAGAGGGAGAGAGAGAGAGAGAGAGAGAAAGAAAGAAAGAAAGAAAGAAAGAAAGAAAGAAAGAAAAAGACAGACAGAAAGAAAATATATACAGAAACGAACAAGACAGAAAGGAAGCACGGAAGGAAGGAAAGAAAGGCCTGAAGGTCCAAAGAACAAATGAACAGAAACATATTAGTGGCAAATAAATAGAAGGAGAAAACATTATATACATAAGAAATGTTCCACCTTGCCTGGACTCGATAGAGGAACACTCCTTCAGAGGCCTATCATTTTCGTGCCCAGAGTCAGCGCACGACCTACTAGCGATGGCCTCCAACCTACTAGCATCCTTGCTCCTAGTAGCGATGCCCTTTGTTCCTAGTAGTTTCTTGTTCCTAGTAGTAAGGCCAGGAGCCCCTAGTAGCGTCCTTGCTCCTAGTAACGTAGGTTTCTCTGGGGAAAAATCGACCACTGAAGCCCTCGAGGTGTTGGAGTTGCCTCTCGAGGGCTGTCCGCGACATGCATTGTACCGTGGCAAGTCTTGAGGGCGTTTCCTTAACGGTTTTCGTTGCTCCTCCGGACAAAGAGCAAAGACAAAGACAAAGGACTCTTAAAAGATCAAGGCCATCGCTATTGGGTTCGAGGCCATTGTTATTACGGGGGAGGCCCTTATTTAATTTGCAGGTTGCAGAAAGCATGCCAGGAAGGACTGCAGCTCCTCCGATAGAACCTCCGACACTGTGACAGTAGCTTGGAGATGAGTGGAGGGATGGGCAAGCCAAAGGTTTCAGAGAATTCAAGCTGGACATCTTTGGCTTTCAGGAACCTAGTAGCGATGGCCTCCAACCTAGTAGTACCTAGTAGTGTCTACTTCCAATTGAAGTCCAGTTGATTAAATACACAATGCCAGTAGAACCGTAGAACTCCAGAAGTGAAAAAGCCTTCTAGCAAGAATGACTTCTTTAATTTGTCTTTTGGAGGTCAGGAACGAGTTGAATTTGTTTCAATGTAACTCCACGGAAGATGTCCGAGAGATTTTGAATCCAGCAATCCCTTAGTCCTTGCGAATGCCTTTGGCATTGCCTGCTATGTTTGCACCCGTTTTTCCGTTCGCTTTTCCGTTTCTTAGATCAAGGTGGATCTTTCCCGCCTGCTGGAGGGCAAGGAGACTGTGGAGAGCCAAAAGGTGACCAAGTTGTGATTCTGCACTTGTCGACTTGTGATTCTGCATTCCTACTAGGTTGGAGCCCATCGCTATTAGGTTGAAGGCAATCGCTTCTAGGTTGGAGGCCATCGCTTCTAGGTTGGTGGCCATCGTTAGTAGGGTGTTGGCCATCGCTTGTCGGTTGGAGGCCGTTCCTATTAGGCTTTCTGATTGTAGAAACGCTTCAAATTGGCTTTCTGAATTTTTCTCTTCCAGGTCTTGGAGCCATGTGCTCGGAGCCCTATGTTGAGGTGCGAAGTGGCTTTGCCAGTCTTACGTTCGCGGAGTAGATGGCTAAGTCGTTAAGTTTGGCAAGCCAAGATGATGCAAGTCCTCACATTGATTTGCCGGTCCAGGGCCATTTGTGTGTCGGCCGCGCATGGAGATTCGGTGCCTTGGAAGGGACTGGCTGAAGGAATGGGAATGACCTCTCCAAGTCCGTCGGATGGACCCTTGTATGGATACTCTATCAACCCTGAACCCTTCCAACCCACAAAGACATCCTAATGATTCAAATGAAGTGTCACAAGCGTCCCAGGTGTCACAAGAGCAAGCTTCACAGCACCAGCCAAGGAATCCACCACGATCAGTGTCACACCTCGAGAGGTGGAGGCAAGCTGAGATGCCGGGCTTCAGGCATTCCGTCACCACCGCTTTCCGGCTCAGGTGCCTGAAGCGTTGGATCCTGAGTACGTGGTCCAACAGTGGAATTTGTCGAATCCAATTTTGGAGCGAGGGGCGACATAAGTCCAAATGGGCGATGAATGGCAGGCCTGTACCTGACGAGCGGATGGCACGTGATGCAGAGGCCTTGAACAGGTTCTGATGAAACGAGTGCTAAGCAGTAAGACATCTTGTTGAGGCCACATCTCCTGTAAAAAGCGTGGAGGTGGGTTCGCCACACTTGACTTGAAAAAGAAAACGAATCTGAGTGCGTTTTGGAGCGGTACCATCGTCCAGGAAGTGGAGATTCAAAGCCCAGACCAGGACGGCTTGTTTGAAGCGCAGAACACTGGCCAATTCAGCACTTCTGCAATTTATGGCGTCAGTTATTGCCTTCACAATCTACAATGCATTTGCAATCGCGTGTGCTGAAAGTCATTTGCTCTTCTATCCAAAAAGCGAGATGTTTGAATATGGAAATATCGGTATTAGGTTGAAGAAGCGGGAACTATCCTGCGTCCTAAGTAGTAGCTACTTAAGCTACTAGCTACCTAGCTGCCCCCTTTTGTTCTTTACTGCTCATTTCTGAATGTGCTAAGAGTGAGTGCGTGCATATTGAGGACGTCCTGCGTGTCATCGCTGCCATGAGCGCAAGCAATGGAGAAGAAGTGCAGGTTCGGTGTGAACAGATGAAGCAGACAAATGTTTCAAGGTCTAAAGAAAGGAAAGTAATACAAATGCTTTGTCGTGCAAAGCATTCTTAGCAAAGCTGCGCTTGTGCTTGCAAGGCCGTGCTGGCACCGGCTGAGCTGGCCCTGCCAGTGGTGTCACCAGCAGCGCCTTTGCTCGAAGAGCAAGATTTGGAGGCGAAATGGAATTCAAAGAACAAGAGTGTTACATAGTGCTACTTTGCTCGTCTTAGGACTTGGCTTGGAACATGGACTCATATTTTACCATTCAATCAGTACTCAAGTCTCCCTAAACGTCTAGGAACCAAATCATCAGTGTGTGAGCTATCCTGCATCCATACTAGTAGCTTAAGTAGCTTGGAGCTATCTTTTCCCTTACTTAATTAAGTAGGCAGTCTCAGCTTGATTAAGGAGGCAGGGCCAAAAGAATTGTTTTTGGTTTCTTTAGAGCTTGATTTTTCCTCTTCAAGAGCTGCTAGGGTTAGTAGGCGGCCCCAGTCGGTACCGTTTCCTCTTAGCACCGCTGGATAGCGGTTTCAGGCAACCCAAAATACCATATATGCTATATTTTCAGAAAAATACATAAAACACGTATTTTTCTTTAGATATCTTCTTTAGACTGTATTTTAGATCCTTAGACACTTTAGACCTTCTCTTTTCGACTTTCAGGCCGAAGAGAAAGGCCGATGTTCCTCCAGATCCACCGAGGTGCAACGAACTTTGACCAAGCCAAATCTTTTGTTTCGTTTTTCTGTTTGTTGAGGGTTTTTGTTTTTCGTAATTCTATTTATACAATAAATGTCAGAAATCGACACATCAAAAGCCTCTCTGAGTGGATTTCAATTTTTGGACCAGGATGAGCCAGAGTGCGAAGCGTGCGAGGCACAAGATTGTAAGATGATTCTTTGGTGGAACGTTCTCAAATGCTTGCTGGTTCTGTTCCTTGGGTTTCCTTCAATTAGTCTGCAGGCCATCGCTATTAGATTCGGGGCCGTTGCTCCTAATTGGGGCCTTTACACATTTTGAAGAACAATGCCATGCAGCATGTAAACCCACAAGTGCCTACGTGTGTAATATCAAGAACCTCTTGCAGGCCTAAAAATCTAGGAGCCAGATCATTAGTGCGAGCGTGAGCTATCCTGTGTCCCACCTAGAAGCTAACTTAGCCTAGTAGCTAACTCACTTAGTTATATCATGAAGTAGGTGTAGGAGAGCGCCCCCCCTCCCCTTTTTCTTTTCAGAGCGAGGCGGTGAGCTCCCGGGCACCGTCTCCAGAGGCTGTGCCTTCACCAGGCCTTGGTAGCTAGTAGCTTCTTGTTACTAGTAAGAATGCTCCTAGTAGTAAGGCCAGGAGCCCCTAGTAGCGTCCTTGCTCCTAGTAGTAAGGCCAGGAGCTACTAGAAGCGTTCTTGTTCCTACTTGCGATGCCCTTTGCTACCAGTAGCTTCTTGTTACTAGTCGAGTTTGTGCTCTTCAGCATGTGCAGGCATCCTCCTCACCGGGCCCACACTGGTGGGCTTGCATTCATCAGGCGCTCAAACCAGGTTCTGCTTTCTCAGTAGCTAGAAGCTATTAGGGGCTCCTGGCCGTACTACTAGGAGCAAGGACGCTACTAGGGGTCCTGGCCATACTACTAGGAGCAAGAAGCTACTGGTAGCAAAGGGCATCGCTACTAGAAACAAGTGCCTTACTAGTAGTAACAGGTGCCTTACTAGTAGTAACAAGAAGCTACTAGGAACAAGTGCCACGCTACTAGGAACAAGGACGCTACGAACGGGGCTCGCTACCATGAATCCCTTGCTTTCCAGGTCGGGACGGTCCGAGAGTGTCACTGCGACCTGCCTTTGATGAGGGTCGTTTGCGTTCGGTGACCCGGAGGAAAACTGCTTTCGATGGCTGTCCTGTTTTGACGATATTTGTGGGTTCTCGGCTGTTGCCTGCTTTGAGGTCGTGCCTCTCAACTCTTTGCAAGCATGCTACGAGGTAGGAAACAGAAGTTTTTGCAGCACAAGAAAGCATTGTGTGGCAAGAAATACCGCTCTCACCACGACCAAGATTACTAGCGATGGCCTCCAACCAAATAGGAATGGTCTCCACCCTACTAGCGATGGCCTCCAACTGACCAGAACGAATGCCGAAAAGGAACAATATCCAACCTAATAGCGATTGCCTCCACCCTGGTAGCGATGGCCTGCACCCTACTAGCGATTGCTTCGCGCTACAGGTCCAATTAAGTACTTAACAGTGTCCTTTAATTCACGTTTCCTTGAATAGTCTAGGGCCATGAATAGTGCGAGCATGAACTTTTCCTGCGTCCAGTAGCTAGTAGCTACTTAGGCTACCACTTACCTCTTACCACACTCCACCCAAGCTTAAGAGCGTTGGCCTCCAACTGACCAGAACGAACGCCGAAAAAGAACAATATTAGAAACAAGAAGCTACTAGGAACAAGTGCATCGCTTCTAGTAACAAGTGCCTTACTAGTAGTAACAAGAAGCTACTAGGAACAAGTGCCACGCTAGTAGTAACAGGTGCCT